CCGGCCCCTGTTTTGTTTTTTGAGACAAGAACTCACTGTGTAGTCTAGGCTGGCCTCGAACTCTAGGTAGACCCGATTGGTCTTGACCTTGAAATCTTCCTGCCTCAGCCTCCTGAGAGCCATGAAGATGCTTTTAAAAGGAATTGTTTTAAAAATCAGATAGCTAGTTTATGACATATTATAGTCACCCTGATTTCCAGAGAAGAGAGGAAAAATTATTATATCTACTATACAATTTACTATCTTTGGCTCTCCCTCCCTGCTTTCATTCTGAAACATTGAAGGATACAGCTTTTCCATGCTTTAGTGGCCATGTCTGAAAGAGCACATGTGCCATGGTTACCATCTATATACCTCAGGACCCTCCCTGGACTATGAAAGAGAGCAGCTTCCTCATTGTAGTTTCTATCACCAGAACCATGCCTAGATCATAAGGCTGTCTGGTGAGAAAAGCCACCTAGGCTGCCACAAAAAGCAGCAGAAACCTGTAGTAAGAGGAGCTCAGTGGTGAGACACTTTGGACCTAGGCCTACTGTTGTTTTCCGGCCAGATAGTGCCAGCCTCTTAATACTCTGTAGATAGAGTAGTGTCCATGTCTTTTTCAGAAGGTACAAGTCTCTTTGATGTGAGCTTTTTTTGTTGTTGTTTTTGGTCCCGCGGATCAAACTCGGGACCTTCTTGCAAAGCAGGCAGTGGAACCACTGAGCTAAATCCCCGGCCCTACAATCCTCTTTGGAGCACAATGGGAAACCGTTCAAGCCAGAAAAAGGGAAGAACACTATTGAATCTTTTGGGATTCACAAGAATTTCATGAGAGAAATAACCATTATCCTTGTGAGAAGCAAATCTGAAGCCAAGTGCCTCAGGTTGGTAGGTTTTTTGTTTTGTTTTTTGTTTTTTGGGTTTTGTTTTGTTTTGTTTTTTGTTTGTTATGCTTGTTTCATTTAGCTTTCGTGGTTATGATTATAAGCATGTTGTCAAAACCCCATGTGTAATAGAGTAAATAAGGAGAGATATGCACAGTAACAAACACGAGTGCTATGACTAGAAGTTTGACTTACAAATGACAATCTTAGATAAGCAGTTTAATTTACTTACTTTTGTAGTAATGGGGACTGAGTCCAGGGCCTTGAATGCTAGGCAAAGTACTCCACCACTGACTTTAAGTTCCACCCTTTTTTGTTTTATTGCTTTGATACAAGGTCTTGCTAAGTTTACCAGGCTCACCTCCAACTTAAAATCTTACTGCCTCAGCCTCCCAAGTAGTTGGGGTTATAGATGGATGCCACTGCACCAAGTGATGAGCAGTGGTCTTTGTTGCATATGGACACAGTATAATGAAATTGGATTTTTGACAGTATTAGGTGCTCTGGAACTCACTGGCCATCTTAAGCTCAGTTCATTACATAATATATAAGTCACTGATCTATAATAAATGACCTGTATTTCTTCATTTCCTAAAATTTGTTCCTCAGAAATTTATGGTTGGAAATATAGCAATTACTATTAAACAGAATAAATTTCTGAATGAATCACTTGTCAGCGTAAAACTTAGAACCTACTAAAAGTCAGATGTGTTTGATCCTTGGCTAGAATCACAGGCATGCTTAATTGACCTTGAATTTGAATCCTGGCTTTGCCCCTTATAAGCTATATGTTCATAGATAAGATTTTAAATCTCTGTATGTCTCAATTTCCTCATCTGTAAATTGAAGAGAACACCTAAATGACAGGGTTGATGATAAGCTATGCATCTAAATCACTGCCTAATAGCAAACACATACTATATATAGTTTTATTATTATATCACAATACAATCAGGTAGAGAGGATTCACAAATCTTATGCCAAAAATATTTAATTGCTCAAGGTATTAATTATACAAGAATTAAAATTATGCAAGAGCATGTAATAATTACTTTACCTAGTAAGTTTGGTTCAGTTGCTTAAGTGCATAGCTCATCAGAGAGTAATTCAGGCTCTAAGAAAAACACTGCCTTAGCTAGGTATGTGGTACATTCCTGTAGTACTAGTTACCTGGGAGACAGCCAGAAGGGTCCCCTGAGCCCACAAGTTCAAGGCCAGCCTGGGCAATGTGGTGTGAGACCCTAGTGGTGTGAGAAGAAAAAGACAAGCAGTCTCTATGTATCTAAAAATCAACTTCCCTCATGGTTGCAGGTATGTCGTCATTGTCAGTATGAGGTCTGATATTTAAGTGATCTTACCCTAAGAAATGAGACTAGAAAGGATTCTGAGTTTCGGATCACTGGAGACAAATACTAAGACAGTTTCACCTGCCTGGCACCAGTAAGTGTCAGTAATTATCTGGATGCCCCAGCACCCAGTAAGCAGGGCTGATCTGAAAAGCAACAGCACAATTGGGTCCTGTCCACAAGAGCTGATGGGGGAGCTCTGCAGGAGGACCTTGCCTGGCAAACCTGAGGCCTTTGGTTTCCTTCACACTGCCAGAAAGAAAGCAGTTACTTTACATTAGTGTGAGTTCTCTGTGACGTCAATAGGTTATTAAAATTAAGCACCTGTTGACTAGGGAGAGCTCATTTGGACTCTTCAAATAAAAAAGTCAGTGTAAAGGTACCAACGATGATCTTTATTTTTGCACATGTTAACAGTTTTATTCATGTTCAACATTATTTTTCAAAAACCTTTGGCTCACACCAACTTGATACATTAATTCCTTGAGCTGAGATTTCAATCTCTTTCTCTTTTCCTCTTTCTCTCTCTCCATTCTCTGCTTTTCCTTTGATTTTTCATTGGCAAAGATAGTATATATCTTAAATTCCTTGTAATTAAGATGCTTTTATTGGGGAAGGAAAAAAAGAAAAATAACTTCAGGAAAGATTTGATAGGTTATATAGATGGCAATAGGATTGTAACCCTTATTTAGCAACTTGGAAATGAGGCTGAGTGTCTTCCTCAGGTGATCTGTCATTCTCAACTTTAGCTGCCAAAGGCTTTTCCAGAAAACTTTCCTTTTATACAGGTGGAATCCATCGTCTTCACCATAGCTTCCCTTAGGATTTTGCTTACATGGTCCTGCCGTGGAATTATTTCCTTTCTAGTTATTCAAATCTATAAACCTTTCCCCCATGCTTAGCTGCCATATCATTATATTTCTTTCTCTAAACTTCCATAATTGTGTGTCCACATTACATAATATAGCACTTAGCTAGTCTTTTCATACATCTCTCCAGATTTTCCCTGATCCTAACTCCGTGCACATTGTTACTCTTACCCTCCTACCACAGGTAATAGAATGTTGTCTTCTGCTTTTATTTGAGTCTGCCATGCTACATTGGGATCTATACTTACACGGTCACCTGTGGTGTTAAAGTCATGGAAGAACTCTCTGAGTTGTTCTCTTTTAATATTGAAGAGAAATCTGTACGTATTGAAGTTGCTTGTACTGATTCTCTGCTCTCCGTTTATGTCAAGCAGTCTAAAAACATGACGGGAATGGCAATACATAAATTGTTCTTCCAAATAATTCTGTTGTGAGAGAAATACGTAAGGCAGGGATTAGTATTGGTGCTGCTTTCTAAACTTGTTACATCAGCCCATTCCCTAGAGAGCTAAAATCCCAGAAGCTCAAGGGTGAAGGGGTTCTGTCATCAATGGGTGGAAGCCTTCTTGAGCAACCACATTCAGAGGGAACGTAGGCCCCCTGGAATAATAAGTTCTGCTAGACAGAACTCTTGCCATAATGCATTTCCTCATATCTGTAAAGATCTTAATGAAACGTGATAAAATTGGAACCACACAAGGTCTTTTCCTCAAGGAGTGGAAACGTACAAAAACACAAGGCCTGCGTGTGGTAAGGAGGGACGCAGAGAAGGCATTTCTCATCTCCATCATTCATCCCATTCAGAAAATTCTCTGAGCAAGAGGGTCCTAGAGGGAGTGAGGCACTCGAAATTATGCGATTCTTTGCAGACCACCAAACGACACGTGAGGAAGGGCAGGCCAGGAGCCGTCGTGGCCAGGCAGATCTGTTTTCCACAAGGAGAGCAACGAAAGGATGAAGATAGGTGGGGGCTGCAGTGAGAGGAGGGAGGGTAGATGTTGAAATTTTCCAACAGGATCCCAAAGTAATCTCCCTCCCCTTCCTTCCCTCTTGTTTGTGAGTGCAAGGGGAGCAGTAACTCCTACCCAAGTGCTGGCCTAGCATGATGGTGGCAGCAGCCAACCCTGCCTTCTGTGACCCTGATCCTAACACGGTACTTGCCTGGTGTGACAGCAGTATGCAAACCAACAAGTAGAACTCCTCAAAACCAATTTCACCCACAGCATTCCAGTCCAGCATGTCAAACACCATCCTGATCTGTTTGGACTTCAAGTTGGTCACGTAACGCAGGAAGTGATAGAACAGCACATCTGTGAAGGGGGAGGTCAGGAGATGGTTATTCCAGAGTAGTTCTAAGATGTGCAGCAACTGGACACTGCATAAACGATAGTGCCGTTGGAAGCTTGTTGGCCTGGAAAGAATAATGCTATTTGTTTCTGGCTTCCCCAGTGAACCTTCCGTGACTCCTTAAGATGGTAAGTGCTTTTCCCTAAGCTGCGTGGGAAAGCATGGTCCTCAGAGCTGGACAGAATGAGACAGCGGTTGGTTAGGGTATGGTTCCTGACCCCAGCTACCTGCCCCGTGGAGCAGGCAGGCATGAGCAATGAGAGGCAGGGTGCTGATATAAAACGGCCTAATATCCTGGGGACACAAGGACACTTTCTTGGAGATGCTAACATTTTATCAGAACTTTCCCCTTGAGAGAAATTAAAACGAGAAAACATCATGCCTCTTCTGTAACAAGTTTCCACATTCCTCGTGCTTGTATAAAGCAAATGGGGAGCAAACCTTACCGACCACCTCATGTGTTGGGTCCTTTAAATGCCACATCTCATGAACCCTGACAACCTTACTGGAAATGTGGCATCACCCCCCTCAATAGGCTCATAAGCCACATAGCGGCATCAAGAAATAGCTTCTAAGCTGGGTGTGGTGGTGCACACCTGTAGTCCCAACACGGGCTGAGGCAGGAGGATCACTGAGTTCGAGGCCAGCCTGAGCTACATAGTGAGTTCAGGACTATCCTGAACTGCATAGCAAGACCCGGTCTCAAAAAAAAAAAAAAAAAAAAAAGGTCACCAACCACTTGGGTGGCTTTGTCGAACTACAATTTCTGATTCAGCAAACCAGTAAATAATGATTGCATTCATCATGGGGAGTTGGTACACGTACATAACACATACATCTTAATTCTTTTTTCACCCCTTCCCTCCCTTTTGCAAAAGAGCTATCTGCGAATCCGTATTTCTACAAGCTCCTGGGTGACGTGGCTGCTGCTTTCTAAGGTACTCAAAGATCATTTACAAAGCAGGTGGCAGAGTTGGCATGGGTCACATGTGGTGCACACAGGGTTCAGTCTGACTCCACAGCCTCACCTTCTGCAGGGAAGCCATGTTTTCCACAGTAATGCATATTCAATCGCATACATTCAAGGGAACATTTCGGTGAAAGACGAAGGAAGGCTTTTGCCTGCCAGTGCACTCACTAATCATTTGTCTCAGGATGGAGAAGAGGAAACAAATGGGTGGCTCATTTCTGCACTGGTGTGTGGCCGTCTACGGGTGTATGTTCACAGGGTATCTAGGGCTTTTCAGGGTAACTGCCTGTGATTTCCCCTTGCCCAGAGATTACAGAAATTATTTCGTTTTTGTTTTGAGACAGAGTCTCACTGTATAGTTCAGGCTGGCTACGTGTGTGTGTGTATCTGAGGTTGGCCTCGAACTCATGGTGCTACTCCTGCCTCGGCGTCCCAAGTGCTGGGACTATAGGCATGTACCACCACACCCACCTTAGAAACTATTTCTTCTTTTTTTTTTTAGAAACTATTTCTTGACTGGCTGAATATTTAAAACATCCAAATAATTTACAGTCCCAACTGAAGCTAGCTTAGGGGACTTCTGATGGCCTCTTGATGTTACTTTGCCATACCCTACCAGGTCTGAACACCTGGCACCAACACATCACACACAGTGCCACATGGGTAGTTGCTCCTAGAAAAACACCTCATGGGGGACTTGGTACCCACTTAATAAATGGTATTTTGAAACCAGTTGACCCTGACCCACCCAAATCTCCAAGGCCTGAAGTCACCCCACCCCCAAGGCAAACCTTAAGGCTGCACCTTCCGTAGTTTTAGGTTACTATCTCGTCCCTCAGTGACCAGAAACACGAGCACAACTTTACCTCTAGGGCATTGCGTCATCAGGGAGCAATTTTGTTACTAGGGAGATAGGACTCAAGCAAGCATTCCAGGGAGATCAAGAGCAAGCGCTTTGGAGTCAGTGACCTGGGTACAAGCTCACGATCTTAGAGCTCAGTGTGCTGCAGCTGCCTTACCTGGGGCAGGCTGATGGGGAAGATGGGCAACACATGCAGCATAAAATACCTGAGATCTGAAATGGTGAGACAAGGGTGTCCACTTTGGATTTTACTCTTTTAATGTGTGTGGGTGCACGCATGTGTACTGGGGATGGAACCCTGGGCTTCCACTGAGCTACACTACCATCCCCTGGGCACCGTTATTATTTCTAGGTGAGGAAATTGAGACTTAAAGAGGATGATGCTCTGTTCTTCAATGAACAAGGCGTAATGATAGAACCTGGATTCACCCCAGAGCCTGAAGTCTTATCTTTCCTACTGAACTGCCAACTCGCAGTTGGTAGTTTCTCTCTGTGCTCCATCTAGAAGATCAAGTACTTGTGGCTGAATGTGGTGACACATGCCTGTAATCTCAGCTAACTGAGGCTGAGGCAGGAGGATCATAAATTCCAAGAGAATCAGTTCCAGTCCCCCTCCCCTCAAAACCAGATGGGGTAGCTTCGTGATATTGGGGATTGAACCCAGAACCATCACAATAAGTATACTCTCAGTCCTTTCCTTAGTTTTTTATTTGTTTTTTTTTTAATTTTGAGACAAAAAATATATATAATTTGAGACAGGTTCTCACTAAGTCACAAAGTTGCCCAGGCTGGACTCAAACTTATGGTCCTCCTGCCTCAGCCTCCCAGAGTGCTGAGATTCTAGGCATGTGACATGCCCAGTTTTCAAAATTAAATTAAAAAAAAATACATATATATAAACTAAGCTGGAGTTTATGTTAAATTAGAAAAAAAATGTGTACACACATACATATAAAAGATTTAGGGATGAGCTAGGCCTGCTAGCACATGCCATAATCCTAGTGCTTGGCAGGCTGAGGCAGGAGGATCATCATGATTTCAAGGCCAGCCTGGACTACATAGAAAGACTGTCTCAAAAAACAAAACAAAAAGGGTTGGGAGTGTACGGGGGTAGTAAAGCACCTACTTAGCATGCCTAAAGCCCTGGGTTCAATACCGATTACTACAAATAAATACACACAAATTTGTTAGCTAAGTAGTGTGTGGTTCTGCAGATTTCCCTGTGCGTTAGTTATCAACTTGATACTAACCCCAAGGAAACACGCAGGGATGTACTGACCATTCAAGGTGTTTTTGCGGTGTACATCAAGAAGCTGAAAATATTCCAACAAGGCCTTCACATTCCTGAAAGATAATAAGCAGTATATTTTGTCCAGATAGAGGTACCACAGAAATGACCCTTCCTTCACTCTCATCTCGGTACACTTTCAGCCAGGCGCCCTGACAACCTGCAACAGAATAGAGAATTCTGCCTCAAAACTAGAATGTTGGACAAAATATCTCAGAAGATCCAGCAGGAATGGAAGTAAAAAGTCAGAGGAAACTGCCAATAATAAAGGGAAAGTGCTTCCTTTCCTTCCAGTTCTCCAGCTTTGCTGTCCACAGGATTGTCTGTCTGTCCCTGAAACAATCTTTCTAAAGCGAAATCACAGACTGCTTAGAAGTAGCTGGGCGTGGTGGTGCACGTCTGTAATCCCAGCACTTGGGAGGCTTGAGACAGGAGGATCGCTGTGAGTTCGAGACCAGCCTGAGCTACACAGTGAGTTCCAGGTCAGTCTCAACTACATAGTGAAACTCTGTCTCAAAAAACAAACAAATAAACAACAAAACAACAAAAAAAAAGAAGTGAAGAAAGAGCATCTGCTCCATAGGGAGACTTTGCTGTGCTACTAGAGTGGTTCTCAGAGTATTTATAGCCCACATGCATTTATTAGACAAGACAAAAAAATAGGAAAATATGAAAGCAGTAAAAAAATCATAGCATAAGTCAGTAAAATAAAGCCAAAGAGAAGGAATTTTTAAAAGACCAAAATGTAAATCAGTGAATCTGCAAAGCAATAAACTTAAATAGAATGACTAAAACTTTTATTTTTTATAATGGAATATTTCAAACATACCAAAAGGTAGAGAGATTAGTATAATAAAGTTTCATATACTCACCGCCAAGCTGGAACGGCTATCAACTCTGAGCCAATCATATTTTACTTATATTCCCTCCTGCGTGCCATCATCACTGGGTTATCTTGAAGCAAGTCCCAGATAAAACAGCACATCAATAAGTATTCAAGTATACGTTTCAAAAAGAGAATGAGTTTTTTGGTACTACGGGTTGAACACAGGGCCTTCACACTGAGCTACATCCTCAGCCTTTTATTTTGAGAAAAAGGCTGCTAAACCACTCAGGGTTTAGACTTATAATCCTCCTGCCTCAGCCTCCCAGAGTGCTGGGATTACAGACATGTGCCACACACACGTGGGTATATATTAATTTATTTTTGAGACAATGTCTCACACATAGTCCCGGCTGGCCCAGTCTGTCCTCAAACTTATGATCTTCCTACTGTAACTGTGTCGCCATGCCTAGCCAATGATTTTTTTTAAGGTCACCTCTTACCATTATCAGACCTAAAGATAAATGATAATGATTCCTAAATGTCATCAAATATTCGGTCAGTATTCACCTTTCCTAGTTGTTTCTTAACAGTCACAATAGATGGTTAGCTGAAGTCAGGAACCCAAAGAGATGTTTATTGTTTACAATGTTTCTTAAATTTCTCCTTTCTTTCTCATAGTTTATTTGTTGAAGAATCCAAAGTGTCACATAGATGAAAACATTCTGGGTTTTCCAGACTTATCCTCAGTATGTCAGCATGTTCCTCTGTCTCTTGTATTTTCTGTAAGCTAATAGATCTAGAACAGACCTGGTTTTAGGAAAAGATGGATAGAAATAGACAAACTGGTTAGCTGCAGTAGGTGCATGCCTGTAATCCTAGCTTCTAGGGAAGCTGAGGCAGGAGGACTACAAGTTCCAGCCTAGGCTGGGCAATTTAGTCAGGCAGACAGGCAGACAGACAGAAAACTGGGTATGTAGCTCAGTGAAAGCCACTGGGTTCAGTCTGCAGTTCTGAAAAACAAGAACAACAAAACAAACTTTTGCAAATATGATGAGGAGGGGAAATTTTTTAAAATTAAGAATGGAAGAGTAAATGCAAGTAATGTTATGGAAGACATTAAAATACATACAAGAATATTAGGTGAGCAAAGAGGCTCGCACCTGCTGCACGACATGACCACCCACCAGCTCCAAGCCAGCTCTACGCTTTGCTTCCCAGGGGCACAGAGCAGCAGAAGTGCAAGAGTAACCAACCGACCTGACTCTGGATGAGGACAGAGTCCTCAGGGAGAGAAGGTGAGCCTGGAAAGCCAGGTGTCCCACGGAGAAAGTATGGGCCTGGCTGGAAACCTCACAGACTCGGGTTACCTTCCCTGAGTGCCTGGGTAAGGGGCAGCCACTGGAGAACACGCAGAATGAGAGTGGACCAGACACAGACGCCCCTGAGAAGTGTAAGTACAGGCTGGAAAGGACATAGGCCCTGCTCTGCATAGGGAACAACCAGATCCCATGAGTCACAACATTAAGTCCAACACAGCCTACATCCAGTGGAGACCACAGGGCTGATCGCCTTTCCATTTACCACACACCCAAGGACACATCTTGGATCGGAGGGAAACTACAGTCTGGAGTGAATGGATACAGGGCACCTCAAAAACCCATAGGTCCTAAGTGGAGAAAATTGTGACTGGCTGGATTGCAAAACTGCAGATTCTGAAAATAAATAACTCACTTAAAAACACAGGATTTTTTTCTTTGACTCTCAGTCTTTGTTTTTTTTTTTTTTTTTTTTTTTTTTT